AGGAAGGAAGGAGAATATTCTGGGGAGCAATTTATAACAGTAACCAAGGTCTCGATTAGGTCATAAATTTGGATAGCGTGAACCCCAGGGAGGGAGAGGGTGCTGAGAGAAGGTGGTAGGAGAGTTTGGAAATGGCTGTGGGAACAAGGAGTTATTCCAGTCTCCCCCACCATAACTGGTAAGTCCTGGGTATGAGTGAAAGTTAAGCCAGTATTGGAGAGGTTTAAGATGAAAGGAAATGCTTACTTAACATAGTGCTCCACCAATAGTAGGTGCTTAATATTTTTTTTTTCTGGTAATGATAGTTTTTTATAAATGAGTCATTGGTTAATGGATGATTTGGTAAGAAAACAAAGGATGGCCAGTGAGTATATACCAATTGCATATATCAGTTAGTATTGATACATATAGCATTGATGGCCCAGTGAATAAGGCAGAGCTTTATGCCAACCCCTTTAGATTTGGGCATATGTAGTCACAGCCTCATTTTTGCCATAGGTATTTTAGTTCTTAGAATTGTTGATGTGCAGGACTGCATAACTGTCATAAATCTCCTCATTTGTTCTGTTGAATCTGTCAGTTTTTTTCCCTGTGGGAATGTTTTAATTTTCTTTGGGGTAGGGCCTGAATTTTGTTCAATATTTCTCATTTTATGCTTCAGGTATGAACTAGCCATGCTCAGGAAAGGCTTTATGTAGAGAGGTTTTCCACACTCAAGCTGAGTTTTTAAGGAAATGGGATTCCAGAAGTTGAACATGATGAGAGAGCATTCCAGGCACAGGGGACAGTCAATACAAAGGCCCTGAAATGGAAGGGTAGAGTGTTATATGTGAGGAACAGCAAGTAGGTCAGTGTAGATGGACCTCAGAGGGTAGTGATTTGTAACAAGCATGGAAAGCTGAGAAGGGGCCAGGCTGTTAAGAACTAAAATACCACAAATAAGAATTTTTATTTACTTGATCCTAGAGGAACAGGGGTTTGTTGAGGGTGTGTGTGTGGGGGGGGGCAGGGGAAGTAGGAAGAAGGGTATGTGTACATGTAATATAATTAGGCCTGTGCTTTAGAAAAAGAATTTTGTGTGGAAAATAAATTGGAGTGGGGAGAGACTTGAGGCAGGGAAACTAAAAAGGAGACTGTTGTGGTAGGTAGTCCACTTGAAAGGTGATAAAGGCCTGAACTAGAGTGGCAGCAGAGTGAGTGGAGAGTTTATAAATATTTTATAAGGGTTCTGTTGTATAAATAGTACAAGTGTTCTACTCCCATTTTACTATTAAACTGAGATCATGCAGATAGTAAGTAAAAGCTGAAATTCAAACTTGAGTCTACTGATAAGTTTAGTATTCTTTTCACTATACCAGTCTGATAGATATAGAGAATGTGTGTGTGTGTGTGAGAGAGAAATAGGCAACTCTTCCTGTCCCCCCCCCCCCCACTTCCATTTACCATTCTTTTTTCCTGTCTTTGGAAGTAAACTCTTAAGTTATCTAATTTGTAGGTAAATTAAAATTAAGTAATGATTAAGGCCTATAAATTTATAAACTACTAGTTGGTTATCATAACAAAGTAGCCTGCATGCAAATTCTAGCATACACTACAGTCTTCCAGATATAAAACCTGTATTCTCAGCCTTAAATTTAGAACTGTCTTAAGTCCAGTGGCTCCCTGTTATCTCTGGGATGAAATACAAACTCAATTTGGTATTTAAAACTCTTCACAACCTACCTTTTCAATCTTGTTTTATAGTACTCTCTTTCACATACTCTTATGATCCAGCCAAACTAGACTTCTTAATTTCTACTTGCACAGCATTCAGTCTTTAATCTCTGTGCAGTTGTACCGACTATACACCCCATGTCTTCATTGCATTTGCTTTTCACCTCTGTCTCTTAAAATCCCTAGTTCCATCAAAGCTTAGCTCAAGACCACCTTCAACTTGAAGCCTTTCCAGATCTCTCCAGTTTCAAGTATGTGCCCACTGCTCCCATTTACCCTTTGTATGTTTTGTGTGTGGCTGTGTAGAGATATATACACATTTATTTCCCATGATAGAGAATGTAAGTTCCTTGAGAACAGGAACTGTTTGAGTTTTTTCTCTTTATTCCTAGTAGTGCCTACCATAGTACCTGATTATAAAGGAGACTTGTGATAAATGTTTGTTGCTTGCTGGATCTATGTGGTCTGGCCCCCATATACTTATTACTTTCCACTCTACTACCACCTGGTACATTTGTTCTAGCCAGACTTTTCTACCTATTGTTCCTTTTATAGCTAAGTCTTATCCTTCTTTCAAGGCCCAGGTGAAATTTTAACTACCAAATGAAATCTTTGATATCCCAGTTCTTAGTGAATATTACTCTTTCCTTTACACTTATTGTTTGTACCACTCATTTGGTATTTAGTACAAGGTGGTATGTGTTTGCTTTGTATTTGTATTCTGAATATGTACTTTGCCCAGTTCACATTAGATCCTTAATGTTTATTGACAATGTTAAAGTATTTGAAATAGGTATAGATGATATTTCTGAGACACAGAAAGATTAAATCACATAGTTAATAATAGTACAACCAAAATGAGGAGGTTGGACTATGTGACCTCTGAAGTTCCTTCTCTCGGCCTAAATCTGTGCTGCTTTGTGAACTACCAATGGAACCAGGGTTATCTTAATTTTTAGTTCAGTTTTCTTTCTATTTTTTTTTTAACCAACTCTGAAGTATTTTGAAATGTAACAGGGTTACATCTTACTTCAAGGGCTGTAAGCCTTTAAACTTGAGTTGTGGACACTTTTTAATAGTGACTAATTACTGTTCTGCTAGCTTAAGGCAGATTGCCCAGTTCATAAAGATCTTGATGGAAAAGATTTAATTTTATTTTGAGATAGATTTTCAAATAAAAGAGGGATCTTTACTTTTGAATGATTTGAACATTAGGCTATAGTGCTTTGGAGTATTCTGTTCCCTTTGGAGTCATCGAAAATTTCTTGAAACCCTGGATTCAAAAACAGAAGACCTGAGGTTTTGAATTGTAGCTCTCCCACTTAGTATCTGTGTGACTGTGGGCAAGTTATAGTCCTTACTGTAGTTTAGGACTCTAGTTTCCTCATTTATAGAACAAGAGGGTCAGATTAGACTATCCTGGGTTCTTAACCTGGGATTTGTGAACTTGTTTAAAACATTTTTTTGATGACTATATTTCAGTATAATTGGTTTCCTTTCTAATATTACATATTTTATTTATTTGAAAAATTATTCTGAAGGGTTCCATAGATTTCACCAGAATGTCAAAGGAGTCTGTGAGATTAAAAAAAAAAAAAAAAGCTAATCCCTGGACTAAACCATCTCTAAGATTCCTCTGACTTTAAAATCCCATAAATCTAATGAGTATTTTATTTAGGATCATAATGGCTCTTTAAGTGGCAGCATTTGAACTCTGAAGTCTCATGAATCCAAGTTTACATACTGTTTTTTTTAAAGTATACTTTGTAATAAGCTCACAATTTGTTTAATATTAGGCTTACTATTTGCAAAGTGTTTTACTTACGAATATCTTGTGAGGTATTAGAAATATTGAGGAAGTCGGGTGGACATACAGCCTTATCTGAGGCAGGAATTGAATCTAGGTTTCCTTACTTTAAATACATCCCTCTTTCCACTAAACTATGCTACTTCTTATTATTTAATAGTGAGTTTAATGAAGTGGTATATGACATTTCTACTTTAGTCAGATTCTGGGTGTGAACTAGAATTGTGTCTTTTCCAAGTTTTCCAGTATCACTGTTAAAGTTCTCATTTTAAACTAAAGATTTGTTCGTGATTTGGCTGGTGATAGATGTCTCTAGGTTTATATGTATGTGTATATGTACAAACACATATGAAATGATACAAACAAAATATGTAGATATATCTATACATATATACATATATAAAAAGCTTCCTTTAAAGTTTCAGAATGGCACTAAACACATATATATGAATTGGAAGAAATTGATCAATGTGTTTTGATAGTGTTTTAGTATAGGGGAAGTCATGATAAGCTCTTTGATTTTCTTTTTCATTTTTCACTTTTTTTTTTTTAAGTGAGGCAGTTGGGGTTAAGTGACTTGCCCAGAGTCACACAGCTAGGAAGTATTATGTGTCTAAGGCTGGATTTGAACTCAGGTCTCCCTGACTCCAAGGCCAGTGCTGTATCCACTGCACCACCTAGCTGCCCCTCATTTTTCACTTTTGAAGACTGTCAGTTCATCAGGTTTCTTGGTGGTGATATTAATAATAGCTAACATTTATTCAGTGTTATTATTTGTAAATATTATTTAGTAAAATAAATATTATCATTATTTGTAAATATTCAGTATTTCAAGGTTTATAGAATGCTTTACAACTGTCATCTTATTTTATCCTCACAATACTCCTGGGAGGTAGGTGCTATTATAATATCCCCATTTTGCAGATGAGGAAACTGAGGCAGACAAGTTAAATAGCTAGCCCAGGGTTACACATTTAGTGTCTAAGACTGAATTTGAACTCTGGTCTTCTGGACTCCATATCCAAAGGCACTGCTGTCACCTAGCTGCCTCTAGCAAATCTCAATTCTACTTTGATATGTTTTGTACCTTTTATTCTTTCTTTCATAATTGAAGAGGAATAAACTATTCTATTAGAAATAATTGGCTTTACAACTAAAAACCTTTTGAGGTGAAGGCCAATATTAGATAAATTTATTTAGTATTCCAGTTAGAATAATCATTTCTGTTTCAAGGTTCATAGGAAAAATAATTTTTAAAGTTTGGATTTTTTTTAGACTATTCAAATTTTTATCTATCAAATAGATGGTTTATTCTTATTGGCAATAGCCGAAATCTTAAACTATTCTGTGATCTTTTTAAAAAATTTGAATAGCAGTATTTGTTTATCCCAACATGGTATAAAGGTTAACACAGTAACTGCTTTTGCCTTCACTTTGAAGTAAAAGTAACTGTCTCTTCTCTTTTTTTTTCTTTTGACAGAACAAACTCGATTAAAAAATATCAGAAAAGTATATGGAAGATGTTTATGGTATCGTTTGCGGTTATTAAAACCACAGCCGAATGTAATTCCCACAATAAAGTAAGTATCAATTCTTCATTCAGAAAGTATTTAGTTGCCTACTAAGTGCAAGGCACTGTGCTGAGAAAAAATTGAGTTCCTGCTGTTGGAAGATTAAACATGTTCATAAGTAAATATTATAAAAGGCAGAATATGATAAGTGCTCTAAGAGGGCTTCAGACAAAACTGTGAAAGTTTAGAGAAAGATTGGTTTGTTTCTGCATTGGGGTGGAGTATCAGGGAAGTCTTCGTGGGATTGAGTAACACCTTGAAGGAAGAGTGTAGGATTTCAACCAAGTGGAAATTGGGAGGAAGATATTCTAGGCAGAGGAAATAGTATGAGCAAAGGAGAGGAGGCTGGAAGTATGGAATATATCAGGAGAAAGTCAGATAGTCCAGTTTGGCCAGGGGGTTGGAGAAATAGATTAGGACCAGGCCTTGAAGAACTTTGAATACTAGGCTAAGAATTTGGACTTTTTTTTTTTTTTAAGTAAATAGTAGATAAATCAGTCTGTAAGCATTCAACAAGTGCCTCCTATATGCCAGGCATTGTGCTAGGTGCTGGGGATGCAAAGATGAGATATTCTTTGCTGTCAAGAAACTTACCTTCTATTGGAAAAGAAAACATATAAGGAGATAATTTTGCTAACAGTTAAGGGAATCAGGGAAAGCCTCATGTTGAAAGTGAAATTTGAGTTGAGCTTTGAAAGAAACTAGGGATTTTAAGATGTAGCAGTGAGGAGGGAGTGAATTCCAGTCATTGAGGGGAGCCTAGGCAAAGACATGAAAATGGGGGTTGTAGTGTTATGTGTGAGGAATGGTAATTTGACTGTATTCTGAAGGGGAGTGATATATAATAAGGCTAGAAAGGTAAGTTGGGAACAGATTCTGAAGGGCTTTGAATGCCCAAAAGAGTTTCCATTGATCCTTCAGGCAAAAGGGAGGAGCCACAGGAGTTTATGGAGTAGGAGAGTGAAATGATCAAACCTATGCTTTAAGGGGGCAGCTCGGTGGCGCAGTGGGTACAGCACAGGCCCTGAAGTCAGGAGGACTTGAGTTCAAATCTGGCCTCCTACCAAATACTTGACACTTAGTAGCTGTGTGACCCTGGGCACGTCACTTAACCCCAATTGCCTTAAAAAAAATTTGGAAACTTTGTGGAGGGTAGAGAAGGGAGATAGGGAAGATTTTGTCCTTTAGGAAAACCATTGAGACAATGATACATAAGGTGAACTGGAACTCAGATAGACTTAAGGCAGGGAAATCAGTTGAAAGCGTCTTAGCTCTAGAAAGAAGTAAACTATTATGATGGTGGTGAGAATCAGTTGAAAGACTTGGTGGCTAGAATGGAGAATTAAAGGAGAGAGAGGAGTCAAAGGTAATTGATGTTTTGATCCTGGCTGCCTGGGAGACTGGTGGTGCTATTAATAGGAAGTAGGAGCATTAGGAGAAGCCTTCTTGTGTTCATGCCTTTTGTTTGTGTTGTTTCCTATGCCTGGAATGCCCTTTTCTCTTCTTTGCTGATTTCCTACCCAACCTTTAAAACCCAGTTCACCTCCTTTATTAAGTGTTCCTGATTCTTCTTGTCAGTAATAAACCTTCCTTGGACTTCACAAAGCTTTTTACTTAGCAACTCTAATGTGTTTGTCATGTAATGGCATATATTGTAGATGTCTCTTTGTTTCGTTCCTGCCTTCCTCCCATTAAAATAAAAGCTCCATGAGAGCAAGGACTGTTTGATATTTAAGTTTTGTATCCCCATTGCCTAGCACAGCATTCTTTAGTAGGTGCTTAATATTTTAAGTAGGTGCTTAATAATACCTAACATAGTGCTTTAAATTTTGTAAGATACTTTACCTTATATCATCTCATTTGAGCATCAAAACAACTCCATGATGTAGTTACTACAGATATGATTATCTCCATTGTACAAATGAGAAAACAAATTCAGACAACTTTGGGAAGTAGTAGTTAGTGGGAAAGAGTTTTAAAATGATGAGCTTATTTTTGGATAAATCGAGTTGATATGACAAGGATATTGAGGTAGAGATGTCTGGGAAGCAATTAGAAATACAGGATTGAAGATTAGATTAGGAATATATCCATAGGGGTTTAAGTTGGAGTGTATGCAGCAAGTTAGAAAGAAAAGAGCATTGTGAATAGAACCTTGGAAAATCCCAACATTTATGAGTGAAAGAGTGAAAGGAACCAGTGAAGGTGAGACCGCCAAATTTTTCCTCATTTTTTTATGCTATTATTGATACATTTAAGTAAGCTTTTTAAAACAAATTTCTAGCACTATTGATATCCAAGACTTTTTTTTTAAAAGGCTAAATGTTTAAATGAAACATTCTGATTTTAGTACCTTCAGGTATTTTAATTTGGATAAATTTTTATTTTCTTTTAAATGTGTGAAAAGATAGGGAAATGTCTTCTTTCTTAATTGTAAAATGCCTCCCCGTTTGCAAAACAGTTTTGTGTTAACAGTAACAATAACTACAACAGAAATCAAACCCCACAAAAAACTCAAAGTGGTTTTTCTTAGTATTTGTAAAGGATTAACTTTATTTTAGTCCTCAGATAGATATATTTAAAATATATTTATTAAAATATATTTATATAAAATAAAAGGTAGAATTAATCTTTTTAATGAATAGTTTAAAATTGTTTATAGCATTTTACTGGCGGCATTTTAAATTTAGACTTTCAAACGTATGGTTCAATGAAGATTATGATGAGACATTTAGGTAAATCATTTTTGTTCTCCCGTTCTGCTGCCTGTTGGTATTTAAATTGATACTTGATGATATTTTGAACGTCTTGAATGTTATTTTGTCTATAAGTTACTTTACTGGGAACACTAAACAGTTTCTGATTCACTTTAAATGAAAATAAAGCTTAAAAGCTGTTTAACTTCAGAGAAAAGGTAGATGCTGATACTAGCTTAGATAGTTAAAAAGCCATCATGAACCTTTATATTTCTTTAATCCTAGGATAGTTTTTAAAATAAAAATAATCATTGTAGTTCCTAATTTGTCTTCTTCCCCATTCTTAATGCAAGGACAAAATGTATGAAATCCCAAACAAGTAATTTGTGAACTATGTTTTAGGAAAGACCCTGAAGGCTACTCTAGTTGGATTCCAATAGTTCCTTGTCTCAATACCCAATGTGGAACTATTATGTTAACTTTTCCGAGTTTCCAGTACAAATCACCAAACCCAAGTATGCACCTTGTTTTTATTTCTGTTAAAAGGTCCAATAATTAGTAAGTGGATTAGCCTGTTAAATAATAATTTTAGCTGTTGAGTTTAAATGTTATAGCATAATTTTGTTGAACTGAATCAGATTTTGTGTTTGTTGTTTTGATCATCCTGTTTTTTCTTGCAGTTTTCAAACAAATCAAAATATATAAATTTGTTTACATCATACTCATTTTTTCCCCCCAAACAGGAAGATAATTCTGCTTGCAGGGTGGGCATTGTTTTTATTCCTTGCATACAAAGTTTCCAAAACAGACAGAGAGTATCAAGAATACAACCCATATGAAGTCTTAAATTTGGATCCTGTAAGTAGTGATTTTTGCGTAATGCACATTACTTTAATGAACCCATGACAATTAGTGTAGATGCAAATTTGAACAGAAATCAGATAGTGGGCAAATAAAAGTTTAGAAATGCAACTCACAGTTCTGGTATTAAATTTTTTTCCAGGCTATTTTCATCAGGATTAATTTTTACTGTTTGTTTAGTTATTCTGTTGCTGAGAATTTGGTGAGCTGGTAAAATACTTAAGTAGGCCGAAGTTTTTTTTTTTTTCTTAAATATCTGCAAAGATGGTTAAATGAATAGAATAGAAGAATCTGAGGTGCACAGGTGTCTAAGATGCTAGAATCATAGATTTAGAGCTGGAAGAGACCTAAACCTAAAGTGAACAACACAGATTAGTCAACAAGCATTTATTAAGCACCTATTATGATCTAAGTGTTGGGGATACAAAAATAAAAACATTCCTACTGTCAGGGATCTTGCATTTTATTGGAGGAGAGAACATGTATGTGTATAAATATATTCAAAATACATAAAAATAAATACAAGTTAACTTTTGGGGGGGAGGGAAGAAGACACCAACAGAGGAATCAGGAAAGGCTTCATGTAGAAAAAAGTGCTATAGCTGAGTTTGTTGGAAACTAGGCATTCTGAGAAGTGGAGGTGAGTAGGGAGGGTATTCCGTCTATGGTTTGATCATAGTCTTATGAATAGGACCAGGATTCAGTGATGTAATTTGCAGTAAGTAGTTGGACAAATCCAGAGTCGCTTGAAGGCTAAGATTACTTAAGATTGATGATGGAAAATATAGGGGGAAATGTAAAATTCACCTTTGATATTCTTCTTCCCCATTCTCCTTCCTATGTGAGGTGCTATTTTCAGATTGATGAACAACTGGAAATTTCTTTTAGAGTGTGCTTAGCATTGTAGAATGGAAAGGGACCTGAAAGGTGGTCTGAAAGGTGGTCTAATTTGGCTGCCTTATCTTATGAATGATGAAAATGAGGCCTCCTTCAAATTGAGACTTGTCCAAGGTCTGTTGGTTGCACAGACAGGACTTAATTTCTTTCCTATTACTTCCCAGTTCCTTCCACTTTCCCTATACCTCAACACAGAAAAACTGCTAAGTGGCACAGGTTGAGCCTGCAAAACATGTTTATATAATAATGTTTGGATTACATGCTATGAAATGTTCCCTGTATTATTACATAGAAGAAATTTTCAGGTTTTATTAATTGTTCTATAAATAATTTAGAAATAAGTGAAAAAATTATCAGTAAACATGATAACTTTTTGGAAATTTAATACTCTAAAGTAAAAGCATAAAGAAAATTTTTAATAGTAATTATTAGTCAAGACATTAAGTTGGTCAGAGAAATATTGGCAAACAGATGGAACTGAATAAGTCTTCTGATCTTTATGTTGATAATTAAACTATTTCATTTGATGATTCTTTTAGTTAAAAACTTTAATTTACTCTAAAACACTTCCACTTCCATGATATTTAAATCTGAGTGTAATATTTTATTTTGTGGAATGTCACCTGTGGATTCTACAAGTGATAGAACTATTTTTTCTTAGTTCATTGCTGTATGCATTTTAGATTATGTAATATGGTGGATTGTATAGCGCAGTCTCGTTTACTTAGTACTAAGGTTTTTTTTTTCTTTTAGGGGGCAACAGTAGCAGAAATTAAGAAACAATATCGTTTGCTGTCACTTAAATATCATCCAGATAAAGGAGGAGATGAAGTTATGTTCATGAGAATAGCAAAGGCCTATGCTGCGTAAGTATCTTGTTCACATTCTCAAAGAAATTAAAGTGCTTATTTGGTTACTACTTTTCTTATAAAATGTTGAATTCTCGTGTTGTTGAAGCTCTCATCTATGGCACTGGTTGGCAGACTATTCCAAAGGGCTATTTAAGCCTTGATTTCAAGTAACTTTAGTTTACATATTGACAGATATATTTGCCATATGAATTATTGAATGATGATATAAATAAAATGACATGTTAAGCTTTTTTGGAAGTGTTAGGCCCCTCCCTGTCTCCATTTCTTCTTTTCTTTCCTTACCTGCCTTTCTACCCTGTAGCTTTAATGTCGTCTTTCTAACATGTCATTCTAGCTTATCTTTTTATCTGTGTGTGTGTGTGTGTGTGTGTGTGTGTAGATGGATGTATACATTCTCTTTGTTTTTCTTCCTTTAAAAGTTCTATCTGATCTGCTGTTGAGTCTTTTATTTTTAGTCTCATACTTTTTCTGTTATCCTTACTCTGATAGCTTACTCCTTTTCTACCTGGGTATTTAGGATTTTATTTTGGATATTCATCAGTTTTTCCTTAAAAGAAGGCTTTCAAAACTTCTAATTTGATTTTCCTACATTGCCTAAACTAGAATGGTTCAGTACAGGTGTTGTATATGTGTTAATCTTTTCCACTATTTTATTGAGTTGTATTTGTTGCCAAATGATTCCTGCAGACATTTGCTAATACATCAGAATAATTTCATATGTGGGACCTTTCCAGTTGCAGAAATTCTTAACATTTTTTCCCATGAACCCCCTTGGCAGTCTTCTTCATTCCTTCTCAGAATACTGTTTTTAAATGCATAAAATAAAATACCTAGAATTACAAAAGGAAACCAATTATGCTGAAATACAATTAACAGAATTTTTTTTGAAAGTTCACAGACCCAGGTTAAGAAACTTTACCCTACTGTGATCCCTCTCATCTTTACCCCCTTTGAAAAAGATCCTTTCGGTAATCTAATAGTTAAGTAATGGTGGTGAGGATTAGTAGATTGTTTGTGTACTGTGATTTCCATTTTTCCTTCTCTTCTCAATATTTTTTTCTGAAAACAAAGGGTCTTTTTCTCTTTGTTATTAAAGTGAGTTTGGTGATTGATAGGGATTGTCAGGACTGGATAGATGTGATAGATTTGCCAGAAGCTTCTCTTCTTTCTTATTCCTATCCATATTCACTTATATGTTAAATAGTTATGGCCTAGAATAGTTGTATTTTGAGGAGAGTTTGATTCATGCATGCTGTATGCTGGCAGCTCCTACTCCAAGAAGTAGGACCAGTGATGCTGTGATGGAAATAATTTTAAATAAATAGTTTAGTCTTTGCGGATTACTTGCTGTACTGTGAATGGCATAGCTCAGAAAGTAGAATAATTTGCCCTGTATCACTGGGTTACCAGTGGTACCATTCAGAGTCACTGTGTCTTAAACCTTTAAGTAATTAAAAAAAAAAAATTGCCTGTAAGGTGTTTTCCTTTCTTTTCTCCATAGTTCTCTTCCCACAGTTCTGCTCCTAAAAACAAAACGAGATTTTCCCATGTCCTTACTCCCCTTCTCAGCCTCCCCCTCCCACCATTATATACTTGAAGCCCCAAATATCTATTCCTGGGAAAAGGTCCGTGGAGAAGTAATTTACTTGCAGATTGAAGTTAGATGCTGGAATGACAGGTCACAGTTGACAAGTCTAATTAGGTCTTTTGTGCAAAAGCATGATGATAGTATTTTAATCCTTTGCTTATTATTGCTACAGTAGCTCAGAGTCAACTATATGTTCAATGATGGTATAGAAAATAGGACAGCTATGTTCTCATTCTCTTATAGCATTTTTTCATAGTGTTCCAGAGTGGAGAGGTTATAGGACTGTCAAAATAAAGTCCTTTGATGATTTCCTGGGGTGTTGAATATATGATTCTTATATATGACTAGAAAACTCCTGTATGTATACAATCTGCTGTTAAGCAGATTTCCCTTTACTGTTGTAGCTTAGAGGCACATAGTAAAGATGTAAACAAAAGGTTTAGGGTATAGGGTAGAGTTATAAAACTTTTTTACATAAACGTTTAGGTTGATTTGTATTCCTTTATTTCAAAAACTTTGTAAATTATGATTTAAATAGTTTTGTAATTTTGGTATTTTTCATTGTCATCAGCAAAATACTTTTACATATTGATTTCCAAGGAAATTTTGTTATCAGAACCTTGCTACTTTTGTGTTTTTATTCAGTGACTATTAAGCAATGATTTTGTTTCACTCAAATTCTTCAGCCTGATATAGTCACTTCTATTAGTCTCTTGCTGTAATAATAGCTCACTTACATAGTTCTTCAAGATTTATAAAACCTTTTATTTTTTAAAATAAATTTTATTGATTATCTTTGGGGAAGCTGAGGCTGGTGAATTACTTGAATTTGGGAGTTTTCAGCTGCAATAAGCTGAAGCTGAATGCATGTCTTCACTAAGTCTGGCACCAACATGGTAAGCCCCCAGGAAGGAGGGGCTGCTTAAGGATGGATAAACTGGCTTGGGTTGGAAATGGAACAGGTCATAACTCTTATGCTGATCAGTAGTGGAGTCAGGCCTCTGAGTGGCAGCTCTACTTTAGTCTTGGCAAGGTGAGGAGATCCAGTTTTCTGTCCTCCTACCCTCTCAGATGTATCTTGCTCATAGCTATGAAAGGTGTGTAATCTGTTTAGCATAGTGCCTGGCATATAATATACACTTAATATTTATTGACTAACTGCTTTTCTTCTAATTTTTATGTGATATGATCTTTAATCTTCAGGTCACATTCATTTTGAATTTAGTGTGAAATATGAAGTAAGAAATAGTTTAAGATGTAATAATCAAGGCCAGTTTCTTCGAGAATGATTTTCAGTTTCCCCAGCATTTCTCTTTATTTTTTTCTTTTTGATTTTTAAATAATATTTTATTTTTTCCCCAATTACACTTAAAGATAATTTTTAGCATTCATTAAAAAAACAACAACCCCAAAAACCATGGCTACTAAGATTACAAGGAAAACAGGAAGCTGGGAAATAATTTTTACCTCAAGTGTTTCTGATAAAGACCTCATTTTTCAAACATAGAGAATTGGGTCAGATTTATAAGAATATAAGTCATTCTCCTATTGATAAATGCTCAAAGGATATGAAAGACAGTTTTCAGATGAAGAAATTAAAGCTATCTGTAGTCATATGAAAAATTCTCTAAACCACTATTGATTAAATAAGTGCAAATTACTCTCAGGTGCCATGTCACACCTATCAGATTGACTAATATGACAGAAAAGGAAAATGGTAAATGTTGGAGGGGATGTGGGAAAACTGGGATACTAATACAGTGTTGGTGGAGTTGTGATTGATCTAACCATTCTGGGAGAGCAATTTGGAACTATGCCCAAAGGGCTATAAAACTGTGCATACCCTTTGATCCAGTAATACCAACTGTGCATACACTTTGATCCAGTATATCCCAAAGAGATTTTTAAAAAAAGGAAAAAGGAAAAAATATAAAAATATTTATAACAGCTCTTTTAGTGGTAGCTAAGAACTGGAAATGCAGGTGTTGCCCATCAATTGGGGAATGGTTGAACAAGCTATGTATATGATTGTAATAAAATATTATTGTGCTATAAGAAATGACAAGCAAGATACTCTCAGAAAAATCTGGAAAGACTTACATGAACTGATACGAAGTGAAATGAGTAGAATCAGGAGAACGTTGTAAACTGTAAGAGCAATAAAAATGATCAACTGTGAATGACTTGGCTGTTCTCAGCAATACAGTGATCCAAAACAACTCTGAAGGATTTATAATGAAAAATGCTGTCCATCCCCAGAGAAAGAACTGAGGGAGTCTTGATACAAATAGAAGCATACTCAGAAAGTGCTGTCCAGGCTTCTTTTTTTTTTTTAATCATCATGGCTTTCAGGTAATAATTCTTAAATCATCTCTTTTGAATCTGTTTTCCAGGTCAGTTGTTTTTCCAATGAGATATTTCACATTTTCTTGTTTTGTTTTTTTTTTTCATTCTTTTGATTTTCTTTGATTGATTCTTGTTGTCTCATGGAGTCATTAGCTTCTGCTTGCCCAATTCTAATTTTTAAGGAATTGTTTTCTTTAGTGAATTTTTGTACATCTTTTTCCATTTTTTTTGTGCTCCTTTTACCAGGCTCTTGACTTTTTTTCCCTGCTTCTCATCTCCAACATAAGAATCATAAAAATAGCCCTGTGTACTTCTCAAGGTTGTTGTAAAGATCATGCTAGGCAAAGTATGTGAAAACACTTTCGAAAATTGTGCATCTTGGAAATGCAAGGTGGCTCTATTGTGAGTATTTGTTAATGTTAGCATGTCTTTCTGATTTTTGAATTTTTTTTTTAATGCTAGTTTAACTGATGAAGAATCTCGGAAAAATTGGGAAGAATATGGGAATCCAGATGGGCCACAAGGTAATGGTTCTTAAAATTTCCAGTGTTATAGGAGTGGATATTGCAAAATTTGTAACTAGATTAGAAAGCATATCTTTGCTTTTTTAAAAGGTAAGAGAGTGAATATGTATATTTCAAAAGCTTGAATGAAACATATATCCTGTGTAAAGTTAAGTGTCATTTAAATACGTTTTTTCCCTTTATCCACGAAACTAGCTTGAAGAGTCAGGCCCACAAAATTTCTAGGAAAAACTGTAGTCAAGAAGTAAATATAATAATTGGTGTAATTGTTAAATCGCTTCAAGCTAACTTGAAAGGCGGTTGAAAATTCAATTTCTTCTATTTAAATTATTACAAAAATTCAGGTCCAAAAATAGAAAAAAAAACTAGTTTTTTTTTTGGAGTTCAGCAAGAAGTTGAGTCCTAAATTCTCCATTCAAATCTGTAGATTATTACCTTGTAAATTTGAGAATCATAAATTTGGTACTCTCTAGTACTTTTACTTTTTTTGTGTCCTTAATAAAGCCTTGTATAACAAGTTGAAATTCCTTTTAGAAGCTTGGATGTTTTTATTCTTTTAGCCACAAGTTTTGGAATTGCTTTGCCGGCTTGGATTGTGGATCAGAAAAACTCCATTTTGGTAAGTTTTCTCAGTTAAAAATTTAAGAAATATGATGATTGTGTATGATATGAGACTGCTAGACACAAGTTTAGTGTGTTGCCCTGTTTTTGTTGGGGCAGCTAGGTGTTGTAGTGGATAGAGTGCTGAACCTGGAGTCAGGAAGACAAATTTCCCTGAGTTCAAATCTGGCCTCAGACACTTACTAGCTTTGTGACTGGGCAAATCACTTAACCCTGTTTGTCTCAGTTTCCTCATCTGTAAAATGAGTTGGAGAAGGAGATGGCAAACGACTCCAGTATCTTTGTCAAGAGAACCCCAAATGGGGTCCCAAAGAATTGGACACAACTGAAAAAAACAACAACTGAACAACCACCATCTGTTCTTTGTTATATAATGTGTAATTCTTAAGCTAATGAGCGAGGGAATTGGTTCATTTTTATTGCTGCTGCGGTGGGAGAGTACATTTTGATGGCCAAAATTCTAAAAGTATGCATAAAGTCTAAAATGGGTGGTAGTTCCTTTTGGAAAATTTGAGAATAACTTCTAACCCATTGATTGGCCCCTGCCTTGTGGAATTTAAATTACCCGAATTTAAAATATGTTCTATTGGCAATTTTAGGAAGAAATAAAGTGTCAGAATAAATAGTAATAAGAAGTCATTGGAACTTTAAAAAAAACTTGGGAATTACTTTATTTCTTGATCAGATAGAGAAGATGAAAGGCAGCATGGTTAAATGGCTAGCAATGGATTTGGAATAAGAGGACATGGTTTTGAATCCCATCTGTACTAATTAACTACCTCTGTGAAAATGCTCTGCAAATCACTTAACTTTTTCATCTTTAGTTATTGTAAAATAAGGGGCTTGGACTAGATCCATAAGGTCGTAAATCTTCATCCTATGTGTGACGTACTTAACATTTTTACTTACTAGCCTGCTTTGATTCGTATCCGATGGTTTAAAAATATTTTCAGTTGAAAATGTCTGTAATTAGTTATTAAATATTATCTTGTTTTATGGCAGAGTGACAGATCTGTAAGAATCATTGTAACTGGCCATTACAGTCTTATTAATTTACTATAGGCATGTTTGTTGTGCTTTGGCATGGAATGGGACAGGACTTGCCAGGTAGACTCTATAGACAGTCATTAGAAATAAGGGGAAGCAGCACTAGGTTAGGAATCTAGAATGATAGGACAAGATTTAAGTATCACACAGTTCTAAAAGTCAGAACTGTGATAGGTTAGGAATCTAGCCAGACAAGACAATGCATTTGAGAGGCCAAGGCCAGGAATCCAGGACCTACTGGGTGGAGTTAAATGCCAATCATCAGGATACCATTAAGCATGTATGAGATTGAAATGAACATTTCAGCAGTTTATATAGGGGTTTCTAAACAAGTTAGCAATTGATGGTAGATCCTGACAGTGTCTCTTACTCTATATCTCTTTTTTCCTAACCTTGTCTATAGAATGTGTCATTTATGATAATTCATGTATTCTTCATGATGTCGGTAACTCTTTTTCCCTTTTTTCCCCACCCCAGGTTTTACTTGTGTATGGGTTGGCTTTTATGGTTATCCTTCCAGTTGTAGTGGTAAGAATTTTAAATCGGAATTTATTATGTTTTTAGTACTAAACTTAGGGTGAAATATTTGTGAATTTCAGTTACAAAGGATGTTATTAAATATTTGAGCTTAAAAGCTGGAAACCTTATTTTGTATGATATTTTATCTAAAGTTACTTTTCACTTGATTAACATTAAAATTAACTTCTTGAACATATTGTTCTGCTTAAACTCTTGGTCTAGAATTTTATTTAGGACACGCTTTATCTTATGCTCTTGTCTCAAAGCAAATTCTAGCTGAAACTTTTTTAACTCATTGATAAACACAGAAAAGACTTAAGTTTAATTCAGTCTAATGTCAGCATCGACTAATTGTTGATGTGGAATAAACTGATATTTACACTAAATTTCAGTTGTTATCTGTTGACTTAGAGACATTGGAGGAAGGAGGAGAATGTTGGCTCTTAGAAAATCATGACATTAACTTTTATTTTTAAACATGGTTTTCATTTTGGAGTTTTTATCCAAGAAATTTGCTGTCAGTTTAGTCTTTCATATTATTTTATTCATGTCTTAGGGCTCTTGGTGGTATAGATCAATACGTTATAGTGGAGACCAGATCTTAATCCGCACAACTCAAATCTATACATATTTTGTGTATAAAACCCGGAACATGGATATGAAACGTGAGTAAAGCAAATGTGATGTTCTGTCATTAGTTTTGTACTTTAGGTTACATCCTTTCTGTACTTAAAAATCTACAAATACTGTAGCATTTTATATTTAGTTAATTCAGTTTTATGTTTGTTAACTGTGTTAGAGAAATGCTTGTCCTGGAGAAATTCTAATTTCCAATATCATGACTATTCTAAATAGTTTATCTTAAATTACTAAAGTTCCGAGAAGATGCTAATATACTTCAAATTTCTCAATTTCAGTATTTGCATTATTCATTCATTTGGTTATTTTTTCATCTGAAATTTGATGATAAAAACTAGATGTACAGTTTTGTATTAATAAACATAAAAGGATCCTTGATATTTAGCGTATTGAAAGAAAACTGCTAGACTGTATGTGGGCTTAAGAAGGTGACTATCCTATTTTCCTCCTGCTCGTGGATATGCTTCACTAAAGGTACATTTCTGTGCTGCAAAACTACTTTTCTTTCTAAATTTTATTCATAACTTCTAGCATTTCTGAACTATTGAATCTTAGAGTTTGAAGGGGGCTTCAGATTTTTTAGTCTAACCCCTACTTGAAGCATAAATTCCCTCTGTAACCTTTCACCAATTAGGCGTCTCTGCTTGAAGACCTTCAGTGATAAAGAACTCACTATATCCTGAGGCACTGTCTCCTGTTACACTTCCTGGACATCTCCAATAAGTTCATATCTGTTTTCCTGTATCTTCTACTCACTTTTGTGTATATGTCCTTTTGCAGAATGAGGAACTCTCTCTCTCTTTTTTTTTTTTTTGGTGAGGCAGTGTTAAGTGACTTGCCCAGGGTCATACAGCTAGTACGTGTCAAATGTCTAAGGTCGCATTTGAACTCGGGTCCTCCTGACTGCAGGGCCGGAACTCTATCCACTATGCCACCTAGCTGCCCCGGAACTCATTCTTTAGCAGGACAACAAAAATATTTCAAGTTCACATTTCACATTGTTGTATTTTATTAGTATGTATCTTTTAAAAATCAGAAATGCCAAGCAGGTTTTTGGACTTGTCTTCAACTTACCTATAGTTATGTTCTTGATTCTCACATCATTTTCCTTGGAAATTGGAAAGGCAATAATTTTCTAGATGGATAATCAGGCACATGTGACTGAGATGTAAACACATCTAAAATTCTTGAGAAATGAGTTATTAGATTTCTGTCTTCCTATGTAATATAGTATCTTGACTTGTGTTAAGCATAAGCTTTTTACTTTTTTTTGAAGGTATTGCAGGTTTATGATAGAATTTAAGGGGTTTTTGACAATAGTGTAATAGCATTTCTGGTTTGTTCCAGGTGCCTGACATTTTCAGGGCATTGACATTTTATTATTGTATTTAATATTTCAGTAGCATGTGTTTTAATAACTTCAAAATCGATGCTGCTTAAGAGCTGCTAAAAAGGTCTTCCTCTTCACCCAGACAATGCCCAGTGAAACCATGGTTTCGTATTACCTAGGTTGATATGGGTTAAAATTTTGGATATATTTGGCTTATTGCCTCCATGAACTTTTTATTTTGCAATGGGTAAAGAGATGTTTGCATCCCATTTTTAGTTTAGGGACACTTGGGTGCAACTTCTTGAATAGAATTTGTTTATTTTTAACGGATCCTTTTGGATTCTGAAGTTAGTGATATATGTTTCTGCTGAGTTGTAGTGATATATTAATTTTAAGAGTGAGGCATATTTCTTTCTCAAAATAATACCCTAGGCATACATAGTAAAGAGTGAAAATTTGTTTCTGCCATTTTTGAAGCTTCAATAAACGTATCATGATGTATGTTACAAAGTAGTATCTGTTGCTCTAGTGTTAATGAAGTTGTCTAGGGGAATTTAGTAAATATGCAAATTGATTTATTTTTCTAATTTTTATTGTTTTGGCAGGTCTCATAATGGTATTAGCTGGAGCCTCTGAATTTGATCCTCAGTATAATAAAGATGCCACAAGCAGACCAGCTGATAATATTCAAATACCCCAGGTTAGGTCATTTCCAAAAGTATTTTGCTTAACGTTTGGATATTAAATCCAGTGCTACTGTGTGTATATATATGTGTGTGAATGTGTGTATGTGTGTGTGTGTGTGTGTGTGTGTAAATATGTTAAGTATTTATCTCATTTACCTAGCTGATCAGAGAAATTGGCAGTATTAATTTAAAGAAGAATGAGCCTCCACTTACCTGCCCGTACAGCTTGAAGGCCAGAGTTCTTTTACTCTCTCATCTTGCTAGGATGAAAATTCCTGAAACACTTGAAGAAGGTAATTATGATTCTAACATCTAAAAGACTTTAGTGGGACCAAAACATCAGATTTAATTAGACCTCATGCTATAGTGTTTACATAGCTATTCATTTCTGCTCAATCAAATAATTGCTCAAGGACCCTTTAAAAAGGAATCTATATGCTATGTAATTACTTTACAAATAGCCTAATACGTCAGGTATTTTGATGTGTTAAAATTTAGTGTTTTGTTTCAAGGTGACAATTCTAATTTTGGGAAGGTTACTTTCAAGTTATTTGTAGCCCTTCTTAAAAGAACAAAAAAAAAGCTTGTCTTTCAGAGCCTTGAAATAATGGCCCTCTTTTCTACAAAAACAATCTTATACATTGAGCGTGGGAGGGTAGTGGTTGGGGTAGGGTAGGGGATCCTATGGATGTTTCTGTGGATGTTATTATCTAGTCATAAAAATTAGAAAAGTTTCCCTGAGATCTTTGATGATTTTATAGATACGTTTTTATAGTTTTAGATCCATGGCCAGTACTGAAGCTTCTTTGCTTAGTTCCCATTAAAATTTTCATTGGTCCAGAAACACTTTAAAGTGAACTGGAGAGTCTTTTGAAGCATCAGTGATTTTGGGAAAGTTACTTATTTTTAGGATCTTTTTAAATGGAAATTTTACAAATGATAAAGTATTTATAAAACATTTTTTTAATCCACAAAAGAAATCTTAATAAGTGTTTCTGAAAACTAGACAGTTAAATACTGATTAATTGATGAATTAACATGGCAGTTCTTATTATTGACTCAAGTCAGAAATAAGCTTTATTTTGCCTTGGCTGCTGAGATCTTTATAAACATTTGTGTCTTCTCATCAATTTTCAGTGTTGAATGTGTCCATCTTTCTTTTAAAATCATTTTTGTGTAGGTTAAAAATATGATGGATGCCGGAATAATATTTTCTGTATTTGGTATAGTAAAGATGGATGACAGAGTTAAATATTACTCTGAGTAGTACTTTTTCCACTTTTAAAAAATACTCTTTGTTTGAATGAGTTCATTTGATATCTATTCTTAGTTTTTTGCCTGTCAGTAATTGTAGTTAACATGGAAATTTCACCAAATGGTAATTACTCAAGCTTCTGAAGTAAAGCAGGATTAAATTTGTTAGAGAAAAAAGTAGAGAAGTAAGTTCCTAAGCTTAAGATTCATGTTAAAATTCTTTATAATTTTGGATTTGAGGGATCATAGGGTTCCCTGACTTCATTATGATAAAGTTTAGGAAGACTTTTTAAGGTAACCTTATAAAATTGTAATCAAAGCAAGTATCTAAGTTTTTCTTGCATGTGGGAAGTGAGTTTGCATAGTTCGTGTTGCTACGGTTGATAAAGATGATCTAGTTATAAAAACTAGCAAGATTTCCCTGAGATCTTTGATTATTTTGTAGATCAGCAATTTATCCTGAAAAAGTGCCCTGCCTTACTGCAAGAAATGGTTAATGTAATCTGCCAACTAATAATAATGGCTCGGAGCCGTGAAGGTGAGGAGGAAACATAATTATCTTGTCCTCTTTCTTGCAAGCATATGTAGATTATAATTCTCAATATTCACAGATTTACTGATACTTAAGTGAATTCTGACAATCAGTGTTTTGGAGTTTTATTTATCTTTTCCCTCTTTACTTTTTCATTTTTATTTTATATAAAGACATACTTATAACAAAAGGATAAGAATTAGTTAATTTATTCACATATACTACCAAATAGTTTAAAAAAAATGAAAAACAGGACATATAAGCATAAGGGTGTGTTGTGTCATTTCTAAGCGGAATTCTCTTAGTTATGGTTTTTTTCTGGTCTTTGTACTGTTTTGTCTTCCTTTGTCTCAGCTGATAAATATGATAAGCTGGTAAATCCCAATATTTGTTAATATTTTAAAATTTTTTTGATGACTAAAGTATAAAGCAAAAGGCATTTTCCCTTAACACTTCCTTCTCTTGTAATAAAGCAAAACCATTAGAAAAAGGGAGCATGTTTGACAGTATGTACTACATTTCTTGCCCTTAGTTCCTCACCTTTCTGATAAGAAGAGGGAGATATTCCATAATAACTTTTCTGGGATCCAAATTGGTCATTATAATTAATAAGTATTTTGCTGCCTATCAGTGTAATTTTTATTTTTGTTGTAGTAATCTCTATCTATATTTTTCTGGTTCTGCTTCACTCTTCATCAGTTCATGCAAGTTTTCTTACATTTCTTGGAATTCCTTATATTGTTTCTTATGGCACAAGAATAAATTCATTATAGTCCCATACTGTAGTTTGTTCAGCCATTGCAGGATTAGTAGATGTTCACTTTGTTTGCAGTCAGTCAGCCAGCAAGTATTTATTAAGAGCTTATTATATGCCAGGCATTGTGTTTAGCACTGGTGGTACAAAGAAAGACAAGAACACCATTGTTGCCCTCAAGGAACTTATTCTAATGGGGGAGCCAACATGTAAATATGTACATGCAAAATGTAAATAACTGTATATACAGTATATATACCCTGATAGACCTGAGGAAGGTGGGATTTGAGCTGAGTCTTGAAGGAAGCCAAGTAAAGGGGTAAAGAAGGACAGCATTTCAGGAATGGGGGACACCCAGTGAGAACGCATGGAATGTCATGTGTAAGGGACAGCAAATAGTCCAGTGTAGCTGAATCACAGGTATGTGGAGAAAAATAAAGTATAAGAAGACTAGAAAAGTAGGAAAAGGCCATGTTTTGAAGGTCTTTAAATGCCAAATAGATGACTTTATATTTGCCCCTGAAGGTAATAAGAAGCTACTAGAGTTATTGAGCAGGAGGGTGACATGGTCAGAACTGTGCTTTGGGAAAATCACTTTGCTGCCAAGTGGAAGAAGGGTAGAGTGAGTAGGGACTCAAGGGAAGGAGATGAGTTAGAAGACTTTTGGGTCTGCACTTGGTGGCTATGTGAGTGGAAAGAAATGAATGTAAATAAGAAATGTGGAAGGTATAAGTGACAAGATTTGACAGTATACTGAATATACAGGGGGCGTGAGAACGAGGAGTCTAAAATGATAAGTTGGGAGCATGAGTGACTGGAAGGATGTTGCCCTCAAAGGTAATAGGAAAGCTGGAGTTGGGGCAGCTCGGGGAGGATTGGAGAGGAGAGATAATCAGTTATGTTTTGGACCCATTGAGTTTCTGATGCTTATAGGATAGGTTCTAGATGTTTAAAAGAGTAGAGGATACAGGTTTGACTAGAGCTCCAGGGAGAGATTAGGGTTAGATATGTAGGTCTGGATGTCATATACATAGAAGTGGTAAATAAACATTTCCTAGGGTTTTATTTCAGTGTTACTGCTAGATTTGATTTGCAAAGGTTTTAATTCTTTTACCCTGTCTCTTTCTTTTCTTTCCCTTTGAATCTTTTGGTGTTAGGTAATTCTCCATTGTAAAAGTGAAGTTAGAGTAGTTCATTCTTGTTGTTTTTTTTTTTTTGTTTTAAACACTGAAACTTAATGGTTATGGAGTGA